GGCGATCACAGTGCCTCCTCTCTTTCTAATACATGCACTTTAATTGTGCTAATTCCAGCTTTCAGGAGAAGGACTCCTGGTTGATGCAGCTGCAGGCACTGGAGAGCAAATGAAAAACAGGGCAGAGTCTGAGCTCACCTAAGCAGGATGCCACTAATGCTAAATCTCAAAAACTTAAGTGTATTTTCTTCTTTTAAATCCGTGTGAGCACACAGCGGCAATGCAGGCTAGCACTTCCAAAATCAAAGCTGAGGGCCAAAATCCATCAGTCACTGTGAATCAAACATGTCTCTCTTCAGATGTACTTTAAGCTCTCTTTCTTCATGGCAAGAACCATGCTTGTTCCAGGAAGAACAGCCTGGGATCTGGAAGCAGAGCAAGCAGAGCGGCACAACCTGCTATTACATACTGTAATAACGTTCTGCTCAATAATTCTTCTGAAAATAGCAGTTCCAGTAGGAGTATTCTGGTACAAAGTTTCTAAACACTGTACTGCATACTCTGGAAAAGATGTCTCTGTCATAGAAATGCTGATCCTGTGCCTTTGCCAAGATCACAGCTTTGCCTGCCAAGAACTCAATCCTGCCTTTGTTTCAAAATCGTGACATTTCTGTGCTCACTTTAGCATGAGTATGAATCAGCTTTGCACCTCATTTTTATATGCTGTGTTATTCCTGTCTGCCTGCCTACCTCGCTTCCCCAGCTTTCTCTAAGAAACAGGTTTCATACGCTGGAGGTTGAAGGGGAGATGAGTGGTGAGGCAATGGAGGATCTGCCTAGGAGGGAGCCTATGGTGAGGTGGTAACCACACCTTGAGACTGCCTCTGTCAGGAAAGAAAGAAAGGTGACCGTGGAGGGTGACTCTCTTCTCAGAGGAACAGAGGGTCCCATATGCAGACCAGACCCAAGCCATCAGTAACTGTGCTGCCTTCCTGGGGCCCGGGTCAGGGACATAATCAGGAAACTCCTAAAGCTGGTTAGGTCCACTGACAACTTTCCATTACTCATAGTTCAGGTGGGCAGTTATGAAATTGCTCAGAGAAGCCTATGAACTACGAAGAAAGATTTCAGGGGTTTAGGACATTTAGTCCAAGGAGCGGGAGCGCAAGTGATCTTTTGTTCTATACCTTCAAGGGCAATGAGGGACATGGAACAGGCTTGGAAAGCGCAAGCAATGAATAATTGGCTCAGAGGCTGGTGTCAAGGCAGAAACTTTGAGTTCTTTGATCATGGGGCAGTATACCCGGATCCTGGCTTATTGTCTGTGCATGGAACGCACCTGTCTCAAAGGGGAAAACAAATCCTAGTGCAGGAACTAGCGGGGCTTATCAAAAGAGATTTAAACTAGCAATGACAGGGAAACGGGACAAAACAAGGCTCACAAGAGATGAGCCTAGGGGAACGATGCTTGAGTGGGGGTGAGGCAGATGACTGAGCTGAAGCGCATTTACACCAATGCACACAGCACAGCCAACAAGCAGGAGGGCTCAGAAGCAATTGTGTGACAGGCTATCTACGACCTAGTTGCTATTACCGAAATGTGGTGCGACCACTTCCATGACTGGAGTGCTGTGATGGATGGCTACAAGCTCTGTGGAATGGACAGACGAGGAAGGAAGGGTGGTGGTGTGGCCCTTTATATTAAAGACAGTTTTGATGTTGAAGACCTCGGGGTTGAGAATGACGAAGTTGAGTGTCTATGGATAACGATCAGGAGAAAGGTCTACAGGGGCAACATCTTGATGGGGGTCTGCTACAGACCACCTAATCAGGATGAAGAGAAGGACAAGGCATTCTATGAGCAGACTGCAGAAGTTGCGTGATTGCCAGCACTTGTTCTCCTGGGAGACTCTGACTTTCCTGATACATGTTGGAAGTATAACACAGGACAGAGGATGCAGTCCAGGAGGTTTCTAGAGTGCATGGAAGTCAGCTTCCTTACACAGCTGGTATGAGAGCCTACCAGGGTTGATGCTCTGCTAGACCTGCTCTTCACTAATAGAGAAGGACTGGTGAGAGATGTGAAGGATGGGGATTGTCTTGGGCAGAGTGACCATGAAATCATAGAATTCTCTATTTTTGGAGATGCCAGAAGGGTGACTAGCAGAATTGCTATCTTGAACTTCAAGAGGGCAGACTTTGACCTGTGCAGGATGCTTGTAGCATGGGTCCCTAGGGAGTTTCGCCTTAAGAATAGAGGGGTCCAGGAAGCATGGACACTGCTCAAGATGCAAATCATAAGGGCACAAGAACAGCTGTCCCTGAATGCTGTAAGGCAAGCTGCAGGGGAAGACCAGTGTGCATGAACTGGGAACTACTGTTGAAACTCTGCAAGAAAAAGAGAGTCTATGTCCTCTGGAAGAAGGGACAGGCTACTTGGGGAGATTACAGGGAAGCTGCTAAGGTATACAGAGAGGAAGTTAGGAAGGCAAAAGCCCAATTTGAATTCAGATTGGCCACTGCAGTCAAAGAGAATAAGAAGTCCTTTTACAAAGGTACCAATGGTAAGAGAAGAACCACGGAGAATTTCCATCCTTTACTTGATGCAGCGGGGAACATGACCACTAAGGAGAAGGAGAAGGCTGAGGTCCTCAATGCCTTCTTTACATCTGCCTTTAATAGGCAGATCAGTTATCCTCAGGGCACTTTACGCCCTGCTCTGGAAGTCTGGGATGCTTCAGAATACACGCATGGTGATTCAGGTGGAGACAGTTAGAGAGCCCCTCCTCCATCTGGACTGTCACAAGTCCATGGCACCGGACAGGCTCCATCCTAGAGTGAGGAGGGAACTGGCGGGGGTGATTGCTGAGCCGCTGTCAGCCATCTACCAGTGCTCCTGGATATCTGGAGAGCTCACAGAGGATTGGAGGCTTGCCGATGTGACTCCCATCTACAAGAAGAGCCGTAAGGAGGATACGGGGAACTACAGGTCTGTCAGCCTGACCTCAGTACCAGGGAAGGTTATGGAGCAAATCATCTTGGGTGAGATCACATGGCACATGCCCACGTGGCTCAGCCAGCCCAGGCTCATGAAAGGCAGGTCGTGCTTGACCAACGTCATCTCCTCCTAAGACTGGGTGACCAGACTGGTAAACAAGGGAAAGGCTGTTGATGCAGTCTACTGAGACTTCAGCAAAGTCTTTAACACCGTCTCTCACAGCATTCTCCTGGGGAAACTGGCTATCTGTGGCATGGACAGGTATACCATTGTTTGGGTACCCTTGTTTGCCTGGAGGGCCCCTCACTACAAATAAGACATTGAGGTCCTGGAAGAGAAGGGCAGCAAAACTGGTGAGGGGTCTGGAGCACAGATCTTACGAGGAGCAGCTGACGGACCTGGGATTGTTTAGTCTAGAGAAGAGGAGGCTCAGAGGAAACCTCATCATGCTCTACAGCTTCTTGAAGGGAGGCTGTGATGAGGAGAGGTTTGGCCTCTTCTCCCAGGCAACAAACAGGACCCGAGGAAATGGCCACAAGTTGTACCAGAGGAGGTTTAGGTTAGACATAAGGAAAATCTTTTTCTCTCAGAGTGGTCAGGCACTGGAATGGCTGCCCAGGGAGGTGGTGGAGTCACCATCCCTGGCAGTGTTTAAGTGTCCTCGCCCTCAAATGGATGAGTAGCTACGAGATATGGTTTAGTAGCCTGTGGTAGCAATGGTAATGGGAGGATGATTGGACTAGATGATCTTGTAGGTCCTTCCCAACCTTGTGATTCTATGATTCTGTGCAGCAAATGAAAACCCATAACTAAAAGTACAGTGATTCTGTAGCAAAATACAACACCAGTAGTTACTTGTTTTAGATCCAAACAATACTTGAATTCTGGTCCCCCAGCAATATAATTAGATAATTACACATCATTTAGTTACCACAAACCTATCTTTAAAGGCAAAGAGCACTGACACACTCATGAACATTGCCAAGTTCTAGTTCTGATAGCATCATTTTCTTCTCAAACACAGGCAGATGCATGCACACATATACACACACAAAGCATCAGCAGAATGCTGATGTTGAGCACACGGCCTTTAGAACACAGCATGACTAACAGCTCCCCTGAAAAGCAACAGTACATTACGAGACAGCTGAGAAGGCAGAAAAGAGAGTCCTAGCACACTGACAGGTACAAATACATTTTATAGATTACACTACAAAGAAATACAGCTTCCAGCTCTAACTTCCATGCTACAGCAGTGAAACCTCAAATTAAACAGAAGCACACACAACTCCTCATCTGTTGTCCTGGAGGGGTGGGCAAGGGAAGCCATCACATACCCAATGACTCCTTTCACGAATCACACAGACTATTCCCTTCACCCATGCCTGCAACTTCAAGGCTCCATGCAAGATCCAACCAACTCCCCCAAATTCCAGTGCCCTTCAAACCATCTACTGAGCATTCAAGATAATACCAGCAAATCGTAATTTCAAGAAAAGTAGCGCTTACAGAAATCAGCTTACAGTAAGTTTCGATGTTCTGTCTATATTGCAAAAATACACAGAAATAATAAAAGGATTTAAAGGTAATAACCAGTCCGGGATGAGAAAACAGGCAGAAAAAAAGTTGCATTTGTAAGTCTGTGGAACACCACCACTCAGTACACCAAAACAGAAGTTTCTACTAAACTTCAAAGCCTTCCGCCAAGAATGTAGCATAAATCATGCCTTCCTACCTTTTTGGCAAGCTATCCTCTGATTTCAGATTGACAAAGTCAGAATTGGGAGCAAAACTACATTTGTACATGACAGCAAAATATTTGAACAACTAAAATTTTGTTTAACACATCACAACACTCTTCATTTCAAGTAAGTACATATAAATTACATTATAATGGAATTGGAGAAGATAATTAAGTTACAATGAGAATAACACACTGGAAAGTCAAATGAAGCACTGTAAGATTCTTAAGTGAAGTATCTCAACACGAAGTCCCACTTCAACAAGAGGGACTATAACAAGGCAACTATTTAGACTGGTATGAGTAAAAACCACTACCTACCTCTTGGGACAGGAAGGGAATGACTTGTGCACATATAGCGTTCAGCCTCTTCACAATTTCTGCCTGCAAATGACAAGTAGAAAAAAGTTTAATTATATAAATTCTCAGACTCAACTGTCAACCATGAATGCAGAATACATGTTTTTTGTTTGCTTCCATCTCCAGCCCTCCTCTGGCTAGCAGAACTTAACAAAAATCTGGATGCCAGTTCAACAATTCCTAGAAGCCTATCACTTCTGACTAAAAAGTTTTCCTTTAAAAAACAAAACAAAACAAAACACAGTTTAGAAATTCCATATGATACACAGAAATGTTCACTTTCACTATGTAATCAAATACATTAACTTATAATGAAAAAGTCTTCAGTGGATGTAACAAGAAGATAAACAGAATACTGTGGATTGCTCTAAATTCTCTCCCAGGAAGCAAAAGCAGCATCACTTCAAATTACAGCAATGTAACTGTAAGTGAACAAATAAGCCAGTTACTTCTATATGTACATTGTTCTTCATGTGAACATTAGCAACACAATATAAAACTCCACTGGGAATCATTTTACCACATATCTTATAAGGTTAGATGTTTTGCACTATTGTGTCATATTTTTGATATGACCAAACCATGGATTAACAGCAGTTACTTTTATTAAGCAATTGTGATCAGAAATGGGTAATAAATGGTGTTTTATTTCTATACTGCAGATCAATTCTTATTCTGTGTATCTATTCTGCAAATCTCGGTGGAGATACAAGAATTACAGCTTAGGCAGCAGAATATTTAAAGTAATGTTGACTTTCTTGCAATAAATTTTAACTTTCTTGTAATAAATCATAACCAGGGTCAGTTTCTCACAATACAGTAGGACAGAATATTTTTCCTGCAAAATTACTAACCATGTGACAAGTATATACAAACTTGTGCAATCTGGACTTCCTTCCTTTACCAGCAACCCTCCAGTCTTTTCGCTATTCACTCCCCTCAAAAATGCTTATCTTTAGAAATAATCCCGGAACTGAATGGTTTAGAAACAGCAGTAAAATGAGAGAACTGTATGTAAAATAAAACTGTGCTCAAGGAATATTACAGTTATACAGCCAGGTAACCAGAATACGCGGTATGCTGGAGGTAAGGTACATGTGAAACTAACTCTGCCCCCTTGTGCACACTGTGAATACACTTTTGAATTCACACACACTACTTCTCAATACAATTTCAATTGATTTGATCAATAGAAAATCCATTCAAACTCCTACAGATTATATCAGTATCTACACTGTACCATCCCAGCAACTTCTCACTGATTTTCATGGTTAATGCAAGCCCCCATCTCATTAAATTTATGCATTCTAATACTTATTTGACATTCATATACTGTTTTATTAGCAGCATAGGCACCTTGAATAACACTTGAGAATATGTCCATCACAAAGCTAAATCATCATCTGGTTACAAAGGTCAATACATGTCTGTAACATTCTACAGTCTAAAGCTTAAAAAATCCCTTTAATAGACAGTGTTTACTGTACTATTTTACTCTACGCTATTTCACTTGTTTTACTCTTATGAAGTACTTGTTACATAAAGCAATGCAGGGGGCACAAGGTTTATGCCTAACTCCAGACACAAAGACTATATGAACTAGCACTGCACTATTTGAGATCCATTGTTTGATTAAGGCATTGTAGAATGTAAGACAACTCACAGTTCCAAAGTACCTGTGCTGCAGTGGTTCAAGCACCATTAATTCAGTCATTTCCAAATTTTGGGTCCAAGCCACACCGTTGTATTTTCTAAAGGAATCTCCTGAGTGCCTTTAAACAGAGAAAACTACATATCCTGCTCTCAGAGGCTTTTCCACGTGAGGGAAATGCCCCAAAACACCACAGTCTCTAACTCATATTGGAGCCTCCCTCAGATACTCTGGTAACTCAGAAAGGTTCAGGGATTCACAGATTTCAAGGCCAGAAGGAGCTATTAAAACTGTCTTATCTGACCTCCTAAGTAACACAGGTTATAAAATTTCATCTACTTCTCCATCAAACTCATAAATTCTAGTTTAGCCAGAATATAGCTCGGTCAACCAAAATAATTTCATTCAACGTATTTCAGGGCATATCTCCTAAATTAAGGTATTAGGCTACAGTGTTTTTATTTTAATAATTCCCCCATCCACATAGAATTATATGTCTCTTTAACTGTTCTTATGGCCAAAAAATACATGAAAAGTGTTTTCTCAGTATTCACACAGAAATTTACCTCAGGCTAACTCCGAGCCTGGGCAGCACCAATCCAAAACGTTACTTGCAAAATGTTGTAAGCAGCTGGTATAGGTGAGCAGCAGGTTCCACAGCTTTAACAGACCTCTTGGTAGTAGTCCTAGAATCACCAAATGGCCTGGGTTGAAAAGGACCACAAAGATCATCAAGTTTCAACCCCCCTGCTGTGTGCAGGGTCGCCAACCACCAGACCAGGCTGCTCAGAGCCTCCAGGAATGGGGATCCACAACCTCCTTAGGCAATCTGTTCCAGTGTGTCACCACCCTCTGTGTGAAAAACTTCCTCCTAATATCTAACCTTAACATTCCCTGTCTCAGTTTAAGACCGTTCCCCCTTGTCCTATCACAATGCACCCTTGTAAATAGCTGCTTCCCCTCCTGTTTATAAGTTCTTTTCAAGAGTCCTGCTGGATGCAGAACAGTGAGAGTCCACCCAGGCAAGAAAGTGAAGCTAAGCAATGCGGCACCCAGCCCCACATATACAAGAACCTCAAGGGCTTCAGGGGACACCAAGACACCCATCGGTATTTCCCAGCTGGCCAAAGAGGCTTGCTAGGCCAGTCACAACAATCAGAAAGCTTTCCTAGGCATAGCCATGTGTAAAGACTCCATCCTCATTAAACTGGTCTTCACTTCCTTAGCAATGAGCTTTCTTAGTCGTGTGGTTGTATATATAGTTATGTTTTAACATCTGCAACACTACATTTGGATAAAAATCATAGCAACTTGCATAAATACAGTTGCTTTGAAGCACACGAATAACTACTAAAAAGTCTTGGGAAGGGTAACAAAAGCAGAAAGTATTCAGGAGTAAGTGCTCCATACCACCTAATGGTGAAAGGGAATGATGGAGTCATCTGAAGAGCAAGCTGATACATCAGCCCAGGGAGCAAGGCACTTTAGGTGGCACTCAGCAGCAACAGAGCAACTCAACCAAGCAGCAGGACTTCACCACAGGACTACAAAAGTACAGCTGCCTGCCCTTGGGTCGACATGCTGGAGAAATGGAGTGCTGGGTGCCTGCACAAATCCTAGGAAGGTTATAATGCTCTGAAGCCCAAAACCTCAAAGTTTCTTATCTACACTGTCTGCCAGAGCCAAGGAGACTTCATGAAAAGTTAACAATCTGCTTTATTACTCCACAGTGCTTAGGCCTGGCTCCAAAGTAATTGCACTTGAACATTCTCAGAATATTACTGTCTTTGGGTGCCCCTTGCTATTTCCAAAAAAGACTTCAAGAACCATAACACAGACACTGAGCTATTGTCAAATACTCAAGGATGCAGCGTCTTCTAACCCCAATCTTACAAATATTTTGGAAATGACTAGCGCTTTATCAGTAACTGTCCAGTAGCTGCTGTTTTTGCTGCTAAAACTGTAATTCTGCTTATTTTGAGAAAGAAAAATCAGTTCTTTTTACACACTAGTTAAGAGAATGGTCTGCAGATGAAAGTTCATGTTCTTCCAAGCATCAGGAACACACCACAGCCAACCCTCCTTCCAGATGGCAGCCACACTGACACTCTGTGTGTGGGACACACACAGCAAAGACACGGCAGAGTTTAGCCTCAGTGTTTGAGAGTGACACATGATGCCTGAAGCAGAAAACAAAATTTTAAAGGGGATTTCCCTCGTTCCCAAATTTTCATAGAAACAATCTATCTATATCATAATTTAACCGTCAGCAAATATCTACAGCAAAAAGTATGGACAAGCTGTATGCACACACACATGCTAACTTACAGCAATAAGCAAATTACCAGAGGAGGAAGTAAACTATGTGATCTGAGAATTTAAAGCGCTTTTATACACACCTGGATAAAATGGCATGAAATACATTCAATGTTTTATCACCAAGCTCTCCTGATGCACCCTATGTACTCAAATAGCCAAATGCAAAAGGTACAAGGCGCTTTCAGCAAATGCTTACTCCCAGTGTAAGGATGGCAAGACTGTCAGAGGACACTATTTGTGTTGCCTTAGAAATGGTGTCTGCATTACACATTTCCAGTGGTCCAGAATTGAAGAGTTAACAACATTCAATGATGTCAGAATATTTTCTCATTACTGTGTTCCTTATTATGTATTAAATTAATGATCCTAAACCATAACAACTCAAGAAACAAAACACGCCATTTATGCATTTTTTTGCTTAACATGAAAAAGAGCAGATGATGTACAAAAAAATCCCCGAACAATCTGGATCACACATTTTCATGTAAGTGAATACAAAGTATCCCGTCTTAACACTGCAACTATTTCTTCAATTAACTGTACAGAATAATACTACAGTAATACACTCGATTGTTTACTGTAACATAATAAAAAGGAGCTAATTGACTGACCTAGGTTTCTGTAAGGCCACCCTACAATCCAAAGATGAAGCAATGTTACTAATGCTAGCACCTTCGTAGGCTCATTCCATCAGACCAGGCCTGAAAACTCTCACTTCAAATAATATGAAAAGTAAGAGATGAAACAAAAACACGAGTCTGCTTTACATTTCCATACTGACAAAGATTTTTGAAAAAATCACGCTTAAAAAACCAGCATAAGGACTTCTCTTTTCTCTTAGATGCCGCGCCTATTGGCTTTTCCCAATCAGCCTATTTGGAAGGAGAAGGAAAAAGTATGATTTCATAAAATTGGGCAGCCAGTTCCTCACATTGAAAGCTAAAGTTGCCTCGGAAACACTGCTGCTTCCACGGCCATGTAATTTTGCCTCCTTTTTCCCATGGGACCAAGCCTTAGAGAGGCATCATTTATTTACAGGCCTTCCCACTGGGCT